GTGAACTGCAAACAATATCTTATTTACATCGTGTCTATGTGTGGCGTTTAGCATTCAGTGAATTCTGACCGTGTCACCCTGTATCTATTTATATATTTCTTTATTAATATATTATTATCTTATATTAACCATTTGCACACACGAGCATTATCCGGCTTCGCTTCTCCCAACCGCAGACGCAGGTTTACAAGCCACTTTTTTCCAGCGTTTTTCAGTCAAATTCTTAAATTTTCCCCCCTTATGAGCAACACATTTTCGTACACGATAAAATATTTCTTTATTAATATATTATTATCTTATATTAACCATTTGCACACACGAGCATTATCCGGCTTCGCTCCTCCCGACCGCAGACGCAGGTTTACAAGCCACTTTTTCCAGCGTTTTTCAGTCAAATTCTTAAATTTTTCCCCCCTTACGAGCAACACATTTTCGTACACGATAAAAGCTTCTTGTGGTTTCTCGGTTTGTCCGATTTGAGCATCCATAAACAATGCAAAACACTGGCATTTTGAGTTTCTGCTAGTGATTTCTATGGAGAAAAATCACTTCCTGTCCTCCAGCTGCATTGCGTCATCAGAATCACGTGATTGCAAACTACCTATTGCCCCCCCCCCAAATTGTTAGTCATGGAATCCCTGATCTCGGCCCCACTGCAATTGGAGCACTTAGCCAAGCGCTATATACCCTCACTGTGTTTTTGCAGCATTGAGCAATTTAGCCAATCACAGACATATCTGTTGATTTCTTGAACGCAATGGCCAATCAGAAACGTTTTGTCAGAATTCACTCACCGCTGAAAGCGCCGCAGTTTTGCATGCTCGTGAATCATCTCATGACTAAGTGCAGACGTGATGTAAATAAGAGGTTAATTGTGCAGTTTAGAGAGCTTCATTGATTATAACGGAACTTTGTGAGATTGCGATGAACGAAGATGAGTGACGCTTTTTAGTGATAAAGGGAGCGCGCTTTGCACACTTTCTAGGGTATAATCCATTCAGAATTTGTATGAAATTTTCGTTTTCCGGACACATAGGCTACACCCTGCAAATTTTCGGGAATGACATCCGCATATTTATGTGGAATTCACTCTCGAAATAGCAGTGATTGGAACTGAACATAAAATATATGTGAAAGCAGCCTCAGTGATTTAATTCTGGAACCGGTCCTGGACAAACCTCAACAGCGCACGACCCGAGCGAGATCTAATTCACGGACCAAAAGTGTGTGCAAACTTTATTGAGATTGGGACATATCAACCAGTAATTAAATTCCATTTCCAGTAACGGACGGTAGAAATTTCAGCAGTGAATGGTATGCGATTTATGACAGAATATAGTCCCACAACTGATCGTTTATTAGCCTTTGGTAACAACGATTCAAAACGGAAACATTTCAAGTGACACGGGAAAAAGACGGAAAACTTCAGTGAACATCAGAAAAGCAGCGTGCACATTTCTGGTTAAATATGAAAGGCCATCAACTGACAAACGGGAAGCATCACCATTCAAGTCAGCAGCAAGAGCCAAAGCTCCACAGTTTACTAAACGGTGGCAACCTCTTTAAATTATTCTTGACTCTGTTGGATTGACTGCTTTGATGCGTTGCAATATGGTAGGGCATTGTTTTGATGCTTACATCCAAAATTCTTTTTTCTTTAGCTTTTCTTTTTTTCTTTTTTTTTCTTGCCCCCCCTGACTCAAGAGTCAAATGTCGCCCATGCCTAGGGTGACGCAAAGGAGACGAATTGTTGAATAAAGTCGGGGTTTTTTCTTTTGCGCACAAAGTATTCTCGTAGCTTCTTAAAATTACGGTTGAACCCCTGATTGGAACAACATGAGAGTGAGTAATTATTAATGACAGAATTTTCATTTTTGGGTGAACTATCCCTTTAAACAATACATGATATTCAGCAGGCTTGTTTATCTCCTATAAAGACAAGACACTTGGCAAAACTTTTTTTTCAGGCACTGGTCTTCCATAACATGTTTTTTTCTTCTTCAGACTAGTAGAAAAGTAAAACTAGTAATACCCATTTATGTGTTTATTTGATTATACTTTGTCTATTTGTGTCTGTAGATTTCAGTTATAATACATATCTTTAAAGGCCGTTTCTCAAGAACTCATAAGTCAGAAATCTCCATTTCAGTATCACTTACACCAAACTTTACCTTTATTTGTTCAATCCTCTTCTTTAATGCTTCACAACGACATTTACTCAACTACCTCTAAATGTCTGTTTGTTCGTTACAGAAGGATCATGTCCCTGCGCTGCTGGCCATGGCCACTGCCTACATGATCCTGAAGCAAACCCCTCGAGCCCGAAACCAGCTCAAACGCATCGCCAAGATGAACTGGAACATCATAGATGCGGACGAGTTTGAAAAGAGCTGGCTGCTTCTGGCCGACATCTACATCCAGTCGGGAAAATACGACATGGCAGGAGAGCTGCTGAAGAGATGCCTACGACACAACAAGGTGACACTGAATTCATTCAGCTGCAGTATATATATATATATCACAATTTCTGTTGGGAATTCAGCTGAAAAATGGTAAGAGATAAGTATATTTAAAGGTAGGGTAGGTGATTTCTGAGAGGCTAACAATAGCAAGCTTTGAAAGCATAAGATCCCACCCTCCTTGCAAATCACTCTCCAAAGCCACGCCTCCTCCAAAACACATGAACAGTTAACAAAGCAAAAATGAAGCATGTAGTCAGAGATGGTGTGATTGAATGGAGGCGGGGACTAATTTAAATATTCATGAAACTGTGTATACTAAATGAGGTAAGGGTGCAGAGTTATATTCAAGGCATGAAGAAATTACAAATGTTTAAATATGACATTTTGATTATAAAAATGAGATTTAAGAGAAAAAATGAGTGACTACTGGGGAAAAGGTCTCTTTTTAGATGATCCAGTGAATGAAATCTTCAGCACTTTTGATTTTCTCTTTTTATTTGTAACTTGATGAACAAACCAAAAGTGTGCTGAAACCCTAAATCAACAACTTGCTTGCAAACCTTTTGGAATCTCCAAAATATTAAAAACTGTTACAGAATGATGTCTTAACGTGTTTTATATCAGTCCTGCTGCAAGGCGTACGAGTACATGGGCTACATTATGGAGAAGGAGCAGTCGTTCAGAGATGCTGCCATGAATTATGAAATGGCCTGGAAGTACAGCAATCAAACCAACCCCACTATCGGTAAGATTAAAGCCCCTCAGATGCTCGGTACTGTTCTCATGTGTGTGTGTTCACATCTCTTATTGACATCAGCATGATGTTTGTTTACCAGGCTACAAGCTCGCGTTCAATTACCTGAAGGCCAAGAGACACGTGGATGCTATAGATGTCTGCCATAAAGTGAGTACGCAAGAAATCCTGCTGCGAATATATAAACGTCTAAATTAGTAAATACTGTACTGAGACCAACAGTCAGATTCCAGAAGCAAAATCCCACAAATTTTTTCCATAGAAAAAAAAGTTTTTACAAATAATGTTTAACCCTTTCTAGACAGACCATACCATACCTTGAACTATTCAGTGATAATAAGTTTAATCGCCTATTCTCTGCAATCTCAACCAATTCTGCAATATTTATATATTTGGCAATAAATGTAAAATATATTTCATATTTAAAATCAATTGTATAGTCAGTAGTTTTATATTTGTATCATCTTTATTTGAATTGTTATAATATAATTTTTATCTAATTTATTATATTATATTTAAAACTTTACAAAAAATATGCCTAAAATAAAAATATATTAAATGCAATTAAATTTTTTTTTTAAATGTCCCTGTTGCATCTTTTTTTCTTTCTTGCGTCTCATACCCTCAGGTTTTGGATGCACACCCCAACTATCCACGCATCAGGAAGGACATCTTGGACAAAGCAAGAGCAGCTTTAAGATCATGACAGAAGGACTGGTGTGTTGTGTGCTGTTGCTCAATTGTGATCTCGTCTGTAATTTCATATAAATTGCGTTTGTAAGTGTCAGTATATGAAATATTTTGATATGACTACATGCAGTATTCATTCAACATTAAAAACAAGCATTAATAATGGTGCAATATTTTTCCTTATGTACACAGATATAAATAAACATTTGAAAAAAACACTAATGTCAGGCTACAGATTCCACATTATAAAACGGATAGTTCCAGTCCTTGATTCTGATTGGTTGAGGCAAGTTCGAAGCTGTTGTGAAATTACTCTACAAACATACACCTTTGTTTACATTTGTGTATTGCTCGGCAAACACTTTGTTGGAACCACAACTGTTTCTGAGGAACTACATTGTTTAGTGGAAGAATAATGTTTTTATTAATATCATTACACTTTATTTGCTCTGTTTTATTTTGTGAAACCTTACTACGTATATGGAATAACTGTTTTATAAAAGCAGCCACTTTGCGTCATGCCTAACAATGCCCCTTAGCTGTTATTAGCTGTTATCAAATGATTCGCGATACGCGCTTTGAAGTCCCGATCTGAATCAAATGATTCGCGATACGCGCTTTAAAAATCCCAATCTGAATCAAATGATTCGCGATACGCTCTTTGAAGTCCTGATCTGAATCAAATGCTTCGCGATACGTGCTTTGAAGTCCCAATATGAATCAAATGATTCGCGATACGCACTTTGAAGTCCCGATCTGAATCAAATGATTTGCGATACGCACTTTGAAGTCCCAATCTGAATCAAATGATTCATGATACGCGCTTTGAAGTACCGATATGAATCAAATGATTCGCGATACGCTCTTTGCAGTCCCGATCTGAATCAAATGATTTGTGATACGTGCTTTGAACTCCCGATCTGAATCAAATGATTTGTGATACGTGCTTTGAACTCCCGATCTGAATCAAATGATTTGTGATACGTGCTTTGAACTCCCGATCTGAATCAAATGATTTGTGATACGTGCTTTGAACTCCCGATCTGAATCAAATGATTTGTGATACGTGCTTTGAACTCCCGATCTGAATCAAATGATTTGTGATACGTGCTTTGAACTCCCGATCTGAATCAAATGATTTGTGATACGTGCTTTGAACTCCCGATCTGAATCAAATGATTTGTGATACGTGCTTTGAACTCCCGATCTGAATCAAATGATTTGTGATACGTGCTTTGAACTCCCGATCTGAATCAAATGATTTGTGATACGTGCTTTGAACTCCCGATCTGAATCAAATGATTTGTGATACGTGCTTTGAACTCCCGATCTGAATCAAATGATTTGTGATACGTGCTTTGAACTCCCGATCTGAATCAAATGATTTGTGATACGTGCTTTGAACTCCCGATCTGAATCAAATGATTTGTGATACGTGCTTTGAACTCCCGATCTGAATCAAATGATTTGTGATACGTGCTTTGAACTCCCGATCTGAATCAAATGATTTGTGATACGTGCTTTGAACTCCCGATCTGAATCAAATGATTTGTGATACGTGCTTTGAACTCCCGATCTGAATCAAATGATTTGTGATACGTGCTTTGAACTCCCGATCTGAATCAAATGATTTGTGATACGTGCTTTGAACTCCCGATCTGAATCAAATGATTTGTGATACGTGCTTTGAACTCCCGATCTGAATCAAATGATTTGTGATACGTGCTTTGAACTCCCGATCTGAATCAAATGATTTGTGATACGTGCTTTGAACTCCCGATCTGAATCAAATGATTTGTGATACGTGCTTTGAACTCCCGATCTGAATCAAATGATTTGTGATACGTGCTTTGAACTCCCGATCTGAATCAAATGATTTGTGATACGTGCTTTGAACTCCCGATCTGAATCAAATGATTTGTGATACGTGCTTTGAACTCCCGATCTGAATCAAATGATTTGTGATACGTGCTTTGAACTCCCGATCTGAATCAAATGATTTGTGATACGTGCTTTGAACTCCCGATCTGAATCAAATGATTTGTGATACGTGCTTTGAACTCCCGATCTGAATCAAATGATTTGTGATACGTGCTTTGAACTCCCGATCTGAATCAAATGATTTGTGATACGTGCTTTGAACTCCCGATCTGAATCAAATGATTTGTGATACGTGCTTTGAACTCCCGATCTGAATCAAATGATTTGTGATACGTGCTTTGAACTCCCGATCTGAATCAAATGATTTGTGATACGTGCTTTGAACTCCCGATCTGAATCAAATGATTTGTGATACGTGCTTTGAACTCCCGATCTGAATCAAATGATTTGTGATACGTGCTTTGAACTCCCGATCTGAATCAAATGATTTGTGATACGTGCTTTGAACTCCCGATCTGAATCAAATGATTTGTGATACGTGCTTTGAACTCCCGATCTGAATCAAATGATTTGTGATACGTGCTTTGAACTCCCGATCTGAATCAAATGATTTGTGATACGTGCTTTGAACTCCCGATCTGAATCAAATGATTTGTGATACGTGCTTTGAACTCCCGATCTGAATCAAATGATTTGTGATACGTGCTTTGAACTCCCGATCTGAATCAAATGATTTGTGATACGTGCTTTGAACTCCCGATCTGAATCAAATGATTTGTGATACGTGCTTTGAACTCCCGATCTGAATCAAATGATTTGTGATACGTGCTTTGAACTCCCGATCTGAATCAAATGATTTGTGATACGTGCTTTGAACTCCCGATCTGAATCAAATGATTTGTGATACGTGCTTTGAACTCCCGATCTGAATCAAATGATTTGTGATACGTGCTTTGAACTCCCGATCTGAATCAAATGATTTGTGATACGTGCTTTGAACTCCCGATCTGAATCAAATGATTTGTGATACGTGCTTTGAACTCCCGATCTGAATCAAATGATTTGTGATACGTGCTTTGAACTCCCGATCTGAATCAAATGATTTGTGATACGTGCTTTGAACTCCCGATCTGAATCAAATGATTTGTGATACGTGCTTTGAACTCCCGATCTGAATCAAATGATTTGTGATACGTGCTTTGAACTCCCGATCTGAATCAAATGATTTGTGATACGTGCTTTGAACTCCCGATCTGAATCAAATGATTTGTGATACGTGCTTTGAACTCCCGATCTGAATCAAATGATTTGTGATACGTGCTTTGAACTCCCGATCTGAATCAAATGATTTGTGATACGTGCTTTGAACTCCCGATCTGAATCAAATGATTTGTGATACGTGCTTTGAACTCCCGATCTGAATCAAATGATTTGTGATACGTGCTTTGAACTCCCGATCTGAATCAAATGATTTGTGATACGTGCTTTGAACTCCCGATCTGAATCAAATGATTTGTGATACGTGCTTTGAACTCCCGATCTGAATCAAATGATTTGTGATACGTGCTTTGAACTCCCGATCTGAATCAAATGATTTGTGATACGTGCTTTGAACTCCCGATCTGAATCAAATGATTTGTGATACGTGCTTTGAACTCCCGATCTGAATCAAATGATTTGTGATACGTGCTTTGAACTCCCGATCTGAATCAAATGATTTGTGATACGTGCTTTGAACTCCCGATCTGAATCAAATGATTTGTGATACGTGCTTTGAACTCCCGATCTGAATCAAATGATTTGTGATACGCGCTTTGAAGTCCCGATCTGAATCAAATGATTTGTGATACGCAATCCGACAGTGAATAATTTTGCGACGCAATGGTTTAACTGATTCTGAGTTTCAGAAAGCTCCGTTGATACTGTAAAATGTATGTTCTTTGCTCACTTTCCTATATAATTTATTAGTTGTTTGAATAACCGTTGAAATTAATCAGCCTAATGTTTTTATTAAATTGTGATCACGTTAGCCTACAGTTTCAGTCGTATTAAAAAAATTTCGTGAAATGACTCGCATTATCTGGTATTTATTTAAAAATACGGGTTTATGATATGCTTTGTTAACAGATTACACTAACATTATACTTTAAAGCCTTGCTTTGAAAAAAAAAGTTTTCAAAATCATCCCCCTCTACTTTTTTCACAAATCGCACCCTATATATATATATATATATATATATATATAGGCCTATGTGTGTGTGTGTGTGTGTGTGTGTGTAACTAGTAAAGTAACGCATTACTTTTTAATTAATTTTTTTGCATTACTTTTTTTTATTGATTGGCAGCTCTCCTGTCCCCATGTTGAGAGAAATCAGAAGATGTTACAGTAGTTCTAAAATAAATTAAAAAGTAGCGCAAAAGTAACGTAACGCATTACTTTCCATAAAAAGTAACTAAGTAATGTAATTAGTTACTTTTTTATGGAGTAATGCAATATTGTAATGCATTACTTTTAAATGTAACTTTCCCCAACACTGCATATATGTGTGTATGGATTGGATGCAACATCACACCATCAAAGGTTAAAAAAACATATATAAATAAACATTTTAAATAATATTGCTTTCTTTATAATTACATTTATTATTTAAATATATTATATTATATTGTACTTTTTAAATTATATGAAGGCAAATACCCAGGGATCAATTTCCTGGAATTTGTCCAAATCTAGTTTCTCAGATGTGGGTTTTGCGAGATTTACAGAACAAACATTTAGCTTGACAGTGTTGCAGAAAAGAACTTCAGTTGTGCAATAAATCCACATCAGTTTGATGTCAAATAATAAACTCTTGAGTTTCATCACAAGCAGTTCAAATGTCAACCTCCAGCAAGAGTCCGACTTTCTCACTAAACACTATTACGCAGAGAGATTCAAGGCGAAGCTAAATCTCCAGTATCCTACAGATGAACACTCTTGAGCCTCTCTGGTATTCTTCTCTTGTCCGGTTCGTGTCCGGTTTCTTTTCTTTGCCCTGCAAACACAGAAGCTCTTTATGAAGTCCATGTGCACGGGGACACGGTGATTACAATCCTCAGGCTGAGCATGTCTGGTGAGTGTTTTCTACATCTACCTTCGGTTTAATAGGGCTAATTTATTGTGGCAATACGTCTAAGTGAGATACTAAGTGAGTTTAACGTAGTCGTAGTCGAATGTCACCCATCACTGATGTCAGATGTCGCGCAAAGTGATTCTGCATGCACAAATGTGTTTATTCGAGTCATGGAAATAGGTGATGCCAGTAACGGGACCCTTCGCTTGTGGATGATTAGGTTTGTGTAGCATAAATATTTAGAGGGAATGTAGGGTGCGA